AGAGAGAGAGAAAGAAAAAGAAAAAGAGAGAGAGAGAGAGAGAGAGAGAGAGAGAGAGAGAGAGAGAGAGAGAAAAAGAGAGAGAGAGAGAGAGAGAGAGAGAGAGAAAGAGAGAGAGAGAGAGAGAGAGAGAGAGAGAGAGAGAGAGAGAGAGAGAGAGAGAGAGAGAGAGAGAGAGAGAGAGAGAGAGAGAAAGAAAGAAAGAGAGAGACACAGAGACAGTGAAAGAGAGAGAAATCAGAGAAAAACAGAGAGAGAGAAAGAGAGAATCCCTGTCCCCAGAATTAATCCCTCTCATGAGCTTCTCCAGAGCCGGAGAGGTCAGTGAGTCCAGAGGTCAAAGGAGCCGATGGACAGATTGCACCTTCCTTTCTGGACCCAGCAGAAAGTCCAGAAGGATCGGCCGGACCTGCCTTTCTCGGGCCCAAAACCCTTCCTGGCCCCTGGGGGTGGGGGAATTAAAAAGCCACTCTTTTGCAGAGGACATTGGCGCCCACCTGGCTGGTGGTCAAGACGTTGGCCTAGCTTGGGGAGATCCCCCTTGGAAACAACCCAAGGGACAGCCCACCTGGCAGGGTCGTTGTTCCAGGAACAACAGGAAGGCCGATTGCCACAGAAACCACCCCAAGGTCCCGGAGAAAAGCTGGGACTGAAATCTAGGGAGTCCTCAACGTACGACCGCTCGTTTAGTCGCCATCCAAAGCTACAACAGCATTGAAAAAGTGACCGTTTTTCACCCTTACGACCGTCGCTGCACCACCACCACCCCTTCATGGTCACGGGATCAGAATTCGGACGCTCGGCAACTGACTCGCATTTACGACGGTCGCAGCGCCCCGGGGTCACGGGATCCCCTTTTGCGCAAGGACCACCTGTGCAAGAGCCCACCCACCTACCAAACCCGTAAAATATCAGCCTGGACGTAGAACATCGATCAAAGAAAAATCCTGTTTTAAGAAATGCATTTGCAGTTGACGCAGCAACTCTTAAACTGACAATATATTTTTAAAAAAAAAAACAAACCCTGGGAAATAGGAGGCGAATTTCAGCCTTCTAAGATATATTGCCCTGTGTTCTTAATACAACCCGGAGACAGGAAGTTTACCCACAGATTGCACAACTTGTGACTGCTCAGGTGAACTTGACACAAACACCAAGTTTCGTAACTTTTTGCAAAACAACGTCTGGCTTGAAAGGTGCAATTTCTCCTTTGTGTGTTCCAAGAGGTTAGTTGTATTGCCGTCTCTCTAGAACAGTGTTTCTCAACTTTGGCTGCTTTAAGACGGATGGACTTCAAGTCCCAGAATTCCCCAGCCAGCATGTTTTAAGATGGATAGACTACAATTTCTAGAATTCTCCAGCTAGGATCTTTTAAGACAGGTGGACTTCAAGTCCCACAATTCCCCAGCCAGCGTGCTTCAAGACGGATGGACTTCAATTCCCAGAATTCCCCAGCCAGCCTGCTTTAAGACGGATGGACTACAATTCCCAGAATTCCCCAGCCAGCCTGGTTTAAAACGGATGGACTTCAGTTCCCAGAATTCCCCAGCCAGCCTGGTTTAAAACAGATGGACTTCAGTTCCCAGAATTCCCCAGCCAGCCTGCTTTGAGACGGATGGACTACAATTCCCAGAATTCCCCAGCCAGCCTGGTTTAAAACGGATGGACTTCAGTTCCCAGAATTCCCCAGCCAGCCTGGTTTAAAACAGATGGACTTCAATTCCCAGAATTCCCCAGCCAGCCTGCTTTAAGACGGATGGACTTCAAGTCCCAGAAATCCCCAGCCAGCATGTTTTAAGATGGATGGACTTCAATTCCCAGAATTCCCCAGCCAGCCTGGTTTAAAACAGATGGACTTCAGTTCCCAGAATTCCCCAGCCAGCCTGCTTTAAGACAGATGGACTTCAAGTCCCAGAATTCCCTAGCCAGCATGTTTTAAGATGGGTAGACTACAATTCCTACAATTCTCCAGCTAGGATCTTTTAAGACAGGTGGACTTCAACTCCCAGAATTCCCCAGCCATCATATCTGGCTGGGGAATTCTGGGAGTTGAAGTCCACCCAGCTTAAAGTAGCCAAGATTAAGAAACATTACAAATCTAAGAGACTTCCGTTTTTTTCCTCCAGTGATGTGAACAAGGACCAAAGCTGGCTTGTCTGTGTGCTATTTAAAATTTTTTTAAAAATCCACCACATGTGTGTATCCGTTCACCACTATCACAATCTCCGTGTTATCACGCCGGTCTGTTCTGTGAATGGCCCCTGTTCATAAAGCAATTATTACCGCTTCTGTTTCCTGCTTTTCCTCTCTGGCTGACCTCAGTGTTTACAATTTCCACTCTTTCCAGGAGGGGTGTGTAAATACAACGTCGAGGTGCCACTAAACGCACCGACAGCCAAAGAGAGCTGGAAAGGGGTCCTTGCAGATGCCAAAGGGGGGGCAGAGTATTCCATAAAAATCAGAGTCATTGGGCCCTTTGCAAGTTTTTTAATTTCCTATCGAACCCAGAAGCAGAATCGGTTGCAAGGGGGTGTTCATTAGCTGTCCAGAGTTGCTCTGAATAGCCACGTAAATAAAATAAGGCAAACTATATAAATGTAAATAAAAGGAGGATCCAATTAAATACGAATGAGATAAAACAAAAAAGGAAGTAAAACAAAACAAATAATATGAAAGAAAAACAGCTTGCATCCTGCGACGATATCGGTAACACCCTCAAACATCCACATCTTGCCCATTCCGGGCCCTTTGAGAAGGACGGAACAGGTGGACCTAAATGCCGAATCCACTCTGAACATCTGGCTGACTGTGCGACGAACAACACAGTAAAATAGAAATAAAACTACGTGAAACGAAAAGCAAAGCAAAACAAAATAAAACGAGATAAAAGAAAATAGTAAAATACAAGGAAACGTAACGTAAAATAAAATATGTTGTAAAGGCTGCACCATGGGAAAGTGGGACGGATGGATGGATGGGTAGGTAGGTAGGTAGGTAGATAGGAGAGAGAGAGAGAAAGAGAGAGGGAGAGAGAGATCAATAGATATAGATATAGATGTGGATGGATTGGTGGGTGGATGGATGGATGGATGGGTAGGTAGGTAGGTAGGTAGGTAGGTAGGTAGGTAGGTAGGTAGGTAGGTAGGTAGGTAGATAGATAGATAGATAGATAGATAGATAGATAGATAGATAGATAGATAGATAGATAGATAGATAGATAGATAGATAGATAGATAGGAAAGAGAGAGAAAGAAAGAGAGAGGGAGGGAGGGAGAGAGAGA